GTATTTTTGTCGGCATGGAACACATCGTATTTTACATTAATTTATATGGGAAAAATTGTTTTGCTTAACAAGTGTTTTGCATTCCAAGTAAGATTCTGGAACAAATTATGCTCGTTAAGCGAGGTTCCACTGTATTAAATTTCACAAAAGAAATTTCTAAATATGATGGAAAAATCTTGGGATACAACACTGGAGGGTCCTGAGTTTGATTCCCACTCAGACTGCTGAGCAAACTTAAACCGTAACCTCTACCAAGGATACAACCTTTGGAATGTGAAAAACACCAGTGTCCCCCCCTCTTCCCAAATCTGCAGATCACATCATCATCATCATTGTTGGGGTTAGAAGAATCAATACTTCGGGTACTCCAATTTTAGAAATGTGGATCGTTCATGGAGGCACAAGAAACCAACCAATGAACCACATTGGTTGAATCAGATAAAGTGATAGGCTGCATTGAAAGTCGTCAGAAGCTTACTAATAACCACTAATATTACTCTGCAGTCCATGAAAAATATTTCAGGCATGTATATTTATGTACGTATAAGTAACACAATTCTCAGAGTTTGCAAATGGCAGTAGTTTAGTTCTCATGTATTTTTATTCAAAACATCTGTTTAGAAATAATAGCCTTGGAACCTTACAGGAAACCATATTCTGATTTTGGAAGTCTGATGTGGATTAAATCAGCAAACCATTTCCGGGTTAAAGTGTTGACTGCTTGCTTGCACATAATAATAATTTAAATTCATTAAGGAAATGTAAGACATTAAAAATAATGAGTAACATTTGCTGCTTTGGAGATTTTAGCATTAACATAACTGGAACCCACTGTTTCAGTCAAAGTTGATGGTATTGGTTCTTAATTTTTCTGCAAAAATTAGTTGCTTTACAAGTGATTTGTAAAATAGGTGAATGATGCTTCAGAACAGTGTTTCTCAGCCACTGGGCCCTTGTCTTATTGAAAAAAGAATTCACAGGTCCGTGTTCTGACAAAGGTTGAGAACCACCACTTCAGAAAACTTCTGGTTACCTTGTTGGCTGTACATGCACTTCAGTGTGTATGCTTATCTGAAAATATTTTTGGATATTCTTGACTTGGTTCATCCTGGTCCATTACACTAGCAATAGTATAAAATATCTTTGTTCACTACCAATACATACAGATACAACCATTACAATGTCATTAATATAAAATATTAGCCTTTAACAATTACAATGATGTGTTTGAATTTATTAAAAGATTTATAAATAATTACACAACTAGTCTATTTGCAAGTATGATAAATATGAAACCCTAAATGTTGCTAAACCTAAATGTAGAATTACCTTGTAAATATGTCAGTCAATAACAATTTTACACTTTTAATAAATAACTGATGGGCTCAAATTGTTGATAAAATTAGTTTTATTAAGATGTTAAAAATGAAGGTGCTCAAAGTTTTTCTAATTTGTATAGGGAAGTTCTTACCTTTGTTGAGCAGTGCACCACCAGCTGTAAGGCACACACTAATTTTGCCCATGAATCAGTATGCCCAGTAACGTCTAAAATTAAAGGAAGTTATTAGCTTTGTGGACTACTTTACAGCATTGTGTTTCATGGTGAGCAGTGTGGTTCATGCATGAAAATTTGTTAATGATTTGTTAGCAGTTGATGGTAGTTATCAGCTCCTCTAGCCATTCATTACACAGGTCTGCAACCAAAAAACTGCATAGGATATTTTTACTGTTTCTTATAGATTTTTACTCACTAAAACCATAAAAAAATAGTAAAAAGAATCCATCATGTCAATTTTTTTGCAAAACTCGTATTTTTAGTTTAATTTTGTGTGAAATTTCTCAAAATAAAATCTGGTATCCTATTGTTGATTCTAAAAACCATATCCAATAAATTATTTCTTACTTTAAAGGAATATAAGAGTGAATCTAAAAAATAATACAAATAGAAAATGGGGGGGGGCAGTGGAAGGGGTTGGTAGAGTGGGTTTGGCGGTGTGAGGAGCTCAGGCGATCATGTCCCAACACGTTTACTTTGTTTGTAGCGAGAGGTAAGGAATCTTACTAGCTCGGTTGAGCATGTTTCGACATGTTCTTTGGGGCAATAGGAATGAGTATAAACAAGCCTGCTGTCAGATTTGATCATGTCTCAGCATGCTAAATTAGTTCAGGATCTTGGTTTATGTATAAGCCACTCAGTTTACAACCTGCATTCAAACGTGACTGTGCTTGTGTTTTACCTCTGTTATGGCTCAAAGAGGTTGTGTTATTTCTCCGGACAACTTTTGTTTTATTTGTGGTGAATACATAGTTAAAAGTCAGCAACGAAACATAAGTGATTTTGTGAAGAAAGTGTATTTTGCTTATTTCAAATTGAAACTTGGGGATCAAGACAAACCTTGGGCTCCTCACAAGGCATGCAGAAGGTGCGAGGAAGATCTTCGTTTGTGGTTTAAGGGTAAGAAAAACTCATTTCGTTTTGGCATCCCTATGATGTGACGTGAACAGCAAAACGACACGACTGATTGTTATTTCTGTTCGGTAGATGTGAAAGGCGTTAATACAAAAAATAAAAAGAAAATATCTTACCCAAACCTTAATTCAGCTATTCGTCCAGTGCCTCTATCTCTGAAATACCAGTTCNGAAACATAAGTGATTTTGTGAAGAAAGTGTATTTTGCTTATTTCAAATTGAAACTTGGGGATCAAGACAAACCTTGGGCTCCTCACAAGGCATGCAGAAGGTGCGAGGAAGATCTTCGTTTGTGGTTTAAGGGTAAGAAAAACTCATTTCGTTTTGGCATCCCTATGATGTGACGTGAACAGCAAAACCACACGACTGATTGTTATTTCTGTTCGGTAGATGTGAAAGGCATTAATACAAAAAATAAAAAGAAAATATCTTACCCAAACCTTAATTCAGCTATTCGTCCAGTGCCTCTATCTCTGAAATACCAGTTCCCCTCCCACATTCCAGTTTGGATGATATACAGAGTGATTCGGAGGACGGAACTATATTACCACCCCAGGATGAATTCAGCTTAGATTTTTCTGTTGATGAGGGACCCCAACCTTTTTCTCAGAGTGAGCTCAGTGACTTAGTTAGAGATTTAGGCCTTTCCAAAGATGCAGCCGAATTGCTAGGGTCAAGACTAAAAAATAAAAACTTGCTGTCACCTAGAACATCATTCTCGTGGTACAGGCACTGAGAGAAGGAATTCACTCAGTTTTTCTCCAAAGAGGGAAATCTCGTTTTTTGTAATGATGTTCAAGGGCTCACGAAATGCTTTGAAATAGAAATTGATCCATCTGAGTGGCGCATTTTCATTGATTCATCTAAAACAAGCCTCAAAGTAGTCTTGCTGCATAATGGAAATACATTTGCATCAATTCCTATGGGACACTCGGTGCATTTGGAAGAAAACTATAACGATTTGGCTGTGATTCTTGAGAAAGTCAACTATCAAGAACATCAATGGATGGTTTGTGGAGACTTCAAAATATTAACCATGTTGTTGGGCCAGCAGGCAGGTTATACAAAACATCCCTGCTTCTTATGCCTGTGGGACAGTCGAGCCAGAGACCTCCATTGGACAAAAACTGACTGGCCACTTTGAGATGCCTTAATCCCCGGTGAAAAAAACGNCATCTGAGTGGCGCATTTTCATTGATTCATCTAAAACAAGCCTCAAAGTAGTCTTGCTGCATAATGGAAATACATTTGCATCAATTCCTATGGGACAGTCGGTACATTTGGAAGAAAACTATATCGATTTGGCTGTGATTCTTGAGAAAGTCAACTATCAAGAACATCAATGGATGGTTTGTGGAGACTTTGACACCATATGGGGACCTTTAAAATAAAGCCGAGTGGCCGAACGACACCGTATGGTGACTCGCAGTCCACGCGTGCGCACAGTGTTTTAAAATGTAATTTTAAGATAGAAACTCTTGTTCTACTTA